CTGCTTCTCCCTCTCCCACTCCCCCTGCTTGTGTTCCTGCTCTCGCTGTGTCTCTCTCTGTCAAATAAATAAATAAAATCTTTAAAAAAAAAAAAAATATTTCATCTACTGCGTGCTAGGCATGGCGCTTTCATTAGGAATTAGGAACAAAACAGATATGCTTTTAATCTCATGAAATTAATTCAATATTCTAATTCACACAGCAAAACAGTATAAATAACAAGCTCTGATGTCAGACTGCCCAAGGTTTGAGTCTCAATTCTACTTCTTACAAGCTAAATGATCTTATAGCCAAGTACTAACTTTAGTGTGCCTCAGTTTCTTCAGCATAATATAGTAATAATAATTATAAGGACAGCTAAATTCAACAGATAATCTAGATTGAAGATAAATCCAATCAAATTCCAGCTGGCATTTGAGTAGAAAAGGTAATTTTGAAATATGTTTGGAAATACAAAGGACCTAGAATAGACAAAACACTTTGAAAAACAAGAACAAAATTGGAAGACTTGCACTACCTGATTTCAAGGCTTATTATAAAGCTACAGTAATCAAGACACCAACCCAGATGGGCAAACAGATTGATAGAACAGAGAACACAGAGTGGAGCAATAGGCCCATAAATATGTAGTCATTTTCTTTTTGACAAAGGTACAAAGGCAATTCAGTGGAGAAAGAATAGTATCTTCAACAAATGGAGGTAGAACAATTGGATAACTTTATGAGAAAAATAAATTGTAATCAATAACTAGTACAATACACAAGATTTACATTAAATGGGTAGGCCTAAATGTAAACCTTAAAACTGTAACACTTTTAGGAGAAAAAAAATAAACGAAACTCTTTGTGACCCTGAGTTAGGCAAAGGTTTCTTAGATTCCACACCAAAAGCAAAATCCATAAAAGAACAAATTGACAGACTGGACTTCAAAATAGACAACTGCTGCCCTTCAAAAGAACTGTTCAGAGAATGAAAAGAGAAGTCACAAACTAGAAGGAAATGTTTGCAAAGCATATACCAAATAAAGAATTTGTATTCAGAAAATATAAATGACTATCAAAACTCAATAAAGGAAAAACAACAATAAAGAACAGGCAGCAGATATGAATAGATACTTCCTCAAAGAAGAAGCCTCAAAGATGGCCAATAAGTATATGAGAAGATGCTCAACATCACTAGTCAGTAAGGGAATGCAAATTAAAAACACACTGAGATCCTATTAGAATGGCTAAAATCAAGACTGGCCATACCAAGGAATGGCAGAGAGGAGGAGGCACTGGAACTCTCAGACCCTGAGAGTGGGAATGTAAAATGGTACAATCACTCTCAGAAAGTCTGGCAGTTTCTTAAAAAGTCAACATAGAATAACCTATGACCCAGCAATTCCACTCACTGGCATATACACAAAAGCGTGAAAGCATATCTTCATATAAAAACTTACACTCAAACGTTCACAGTACAATTACTCCTAACAGCCCAGAAGTGGAAACAACCTAAATGTCCATCATTAGTGAATGGATAAACAAAATATGGTATGTCTGTTTCATCCATAAAAAGAAATCAAGTACGGACAACATTATGCTAAGTGGAAAAAGCCAGATACAAAAGGCCATATACTGTATAAGTCCATTTATATGAAATATCCAGAATAGGCAAATCATAGAGACAGAAAGTAGATTAGTGGTTTGAGGGGGTGTGGGGGGGACAGACACTGGGGAGTGATTGCTTAATGGATACAGAGATTCTTTGGGGGTGAAGAAAATGTTCTGGAATTAGATAGTGGTTGCACAACATTATGAATGTAATAAAAGCCACTGAACTGTACACATTTAAAATGGTTAAAATGATGACTATTATATAAATTTATCTCAATCAGACAAAAAAGTTAAATATATATTCACCACATGATCCAGTTATTCCACTCCTTGGTTTATACCAATGAAATGAAAACATATGTCCATACAAAGACGTGCATACAAATGTTCAGAACAGCTTTATTTGTAACAGCCCAAAACTGGCAACAATGCAAATGTCTTATCAACAGCTGAACAGATGAAAGGAACTGTGACATCTCCACATGATGTAATCTATTCAGCAATAAGAAAGGAATGAACTATTGATACATGTAACAAGATGGATGAAACTCAAAGTAATTATGCTGTGTGATTTAAACCAGACAAAACAAGAGCACATATTGTATGACTAATTCTGTTTATGTACAATTTTAGGAAACGTAAGCTAATCTCGAATGACAGAAAACAGATTAGTAGTGACCTCGTGAGTGGGGTAAAGCAGGTAGGAAAAACTGAGGGGAATGGATTACAAAAGGTATAAGTAAACTTTGAGGATGATGGATCTATGTTCATCATCTGGATTGTGGTGATGGTTTTGTGATGGTGTTTATATGCCAAACTTACCAAATTAGATATATTTTAAGTATGTAAAAATTATTATATGTCAATTATACCTCAATAAACGTGATTTAAAATGTTTAAAGAGAAAGAAAACATACATTCAAAAAAAAATTTATAGGAATGTTCATAGCAGCTTCATTAGTAATAGCCCCAAACTACAAACAGCTTAGGCAACTACTGATAAGGAAATTAAAAAAAACAAACTACGGTATTTTCATACAATGACGTATCACTCTGATATACTTAAAAAACTACAGATACATACAACATGAAGCATTCTCAAAACATTTTGCTGAATGAAAGAAGTCTTACACAAAAGTTCATATTGTATGAATCCATTTACATGAAGTTCTAGAACAGACAAAAGTATGATAGAAAAAAATTAGACAGTGGTCTGCTTTAAAATGGAGAAAGAAGGACAGACTGGGAAGGGACATAAAGGAACTTTCTGGAGTGACAGTAATACTCTGTATCTTGATAGGGGTTTGGGTGATACATTTGTATGCATTTATCAAAACTCAGTAAATACATGTGTATATGTGTGTTTATTAATAAAATACATACATATGTTAATCTATATACACATATACATAATTTGTGTGTGTTTTGAGATTTTATTCTTAGGACTTATGCCATAATAGGACTGGGGGGGCAAAAGATCTAGAATCCAGTCCCTGCTGAGCCATTAATTCATTGAATGACTTTAGGCAAATTATTTTCTCTAGGCCTCAGTTTGCTCATCTGTAAAATGAGACAAAACTAGGTAGTTCTTGTTCAAAACCAAAATTTTACAACAATATGACTACAATGCTAACTTCACAGTCCAAGAACTAAAAATAATAGATTTCTTTAAGTTTGAAAGATTTTAAAATGAACAATTCTACAAATGTACTATAAAAACAAAGTACATTTTTTTTAATTTGTTTTTTTAAAGATTTTGTTTATTTATTTGAGAGAGAGAGAATGAGAGAGAGCACATGAGAAGGGGGAGGGTCAGAGGGAGAAGCAGACTCCCTGCCGAGCAGGGAGCCCAATGTGGGACTCGATCCAGGGACTCCAGGATCATGACCTGAGCCGAAGGCAGTCACTTAACCAAGTGAGCCACCCAGGCGCCCCAACAAAGTACATTTTTGAATTATGAACATTTCATCCACACATTAAATAAAAATTTTTATATAAATTTTTAAATAAATTATATATTTTTATATATAATTTTGTATAAAATTCTCTCACATACCATAGACACCCAACCACATAATCAGAAATCATATAAATTACTCACGATTTAATATCTTCTAGAACATTTTTTGGTTGTGCTGATCCCAGAAAACAAGCTGGAATGTTGGACATTCTAGAAGAAGAAAAACAAATATTCTGGAGCCGTGTACATACTACAAAGATCAACTTCATTCTTAACGACTAAAGAAATATAATGATGGACCAAGTACCCTTCTTTGTAATCCTCACTCGTTTTGTAACTCACTAATTTGATAAACAAATTCCTTCAAAGGCCATATTAGAAAGCAGGTTGTTAGGGCATGTTTTTCAGAAAGATTGTAAGCTCAGGTTAAAGAGGTTTAAAATTTTTCTGTAACTAAAAATTACATACTTCCATGTATATACTTTATACCAAGCTAAAGAGCAAGGGTAACCAGAAGAGAAAAGAATTTTGAGATATGGATGTAAACTGGCTTAGAGTTTGCTGTTACAAAAATTTTTATTGGGACCATCTGGTAGCCTTGGATTATAGAGAACTCTAGAAAGAAGATAAGTCCTTCCACCAAAGAGTCATTTATCACTAATAAAGATTGGGCAACATTCACAGAAATGTGTTCCTGGGAACTAGATTTTAACATGCATGATAGATTACATGTTTCCTTCATGGAAGAAAAAAAAGGGTGATAATGTAGCAATGAAAACATTACTGGGGCACCTGGCTGGCTGAGTGGGGAGAGCCTGCGATTCTTCATCTCAGGGTTGTAAATTCAAGCCCCACATTGGGTGTAGAGATTACATAAAAGTGGAAGGAAGGGAGGGAGGGAGGGATGGAGGGAAGAAGAAAACATTACTTACTTAAGCCGGAGCACTTGGTCTTCCATCAAAGAAATAAGAGGAGAGATGACAAGGCCAATCCTGCCTGAATACACAGGTGGGTACTGGAAGCACAAACTCTTTCCATATCCTGGAAATAAAAATAATACACTGATAGAAATAAAAATAAAGCCTTGGTACTTTGATTTCTTCTTACAATGTACTTGTGTGAGATGAATGGTCCCTACTAACATGCTATCCTCCTAAGAGCTAATTCCTGCATAAATTTGAGCATCTAATCTCAGATCAGTCTCTTCTGTATTTTATATCATTTGTATTTGTATTTATATTTTGAAAGTGTAATAAAAGATCACGCATTTCAAAACCTTTAAGTTTTATATTTTAGAGGACTAACTTACTGCTTACGTACAACTTACCAGTTGCCATCACAACAACATTATCTCTTCTTTCTTCCAAAACAGAATGAATCACCTTCCACTGAACCCTGGAGGGTAAAAAGCAAAAGGCTATTTTGTTTTACTAACAAGAAACCTAGGGGCACCTGAGTGGCTCAGTTGGTAAGCGTCTGCCTTCGGCTCCGGTCATGTCCCAGGGTCCTGGGATAGAGCCCCACATCTGGTTCCCTGCTCAGCAGGAAGCCTGCTTTTCCCTCTCCCACTCCCCCTGCTTGTGTTCCCTCTCTCGCCATCTCTCTCTCTCTCTAATAAATAAATAAAACCTTTAAAAAAAAAATAAATAAGGACAGGTGGAAAAATGTTTCATTTTTTCACTACCTCTAACAGAATTATTTTTCTGAAAGATTGCATTTATTTATTTAATTTTAGATTGTATTTATTTTATTTTAGAGAGAGAGCACATATGCACAAGCAGAGGGAGGGGCAGAGGGAGAGGGAAAGAATCTCAAGCACACTCCACATTGAGCATGGAGCCATCGAGGGGCTCAATTTCACCACCTGGAGATCACAACTGGAGCCAAAACCAAGAGTCAGAAGCTTAACAGACTGACCCACCCAGGTACCCCTCTAATAGAATTTCTTTTACATTTTTGAGCTTCAATATATGCATAAATTTATTGATTAAAATAAATAAAAGAGGGGCACCTGGGTGGCTCAGTCAGTTAAGCATCTAACTCTTGATTTCAGCTCAGGTCATGATCTCAGGGTTGTGAGATGGAGCCCCACATTGGGCTCTGCACTGGGCATGAAGCCTGCTTAAGATTCTCTCTCTCCCTCTCCCTCTGCCCCTCTCTGCACTTGCACGCGCATGCGCAAACACAGACCCTCTCTCTCCCTCTCTCTCTCTCTCTCGCATGCATGCGCACATGCTCTCTCTCTCTCTCTCTCAAATAAATAAATAAATAAAATAAATGCTCCAGAGGCAAGGATTGCCTGAGAAGGGACATGAGGGAACTTTCTGGAGTGACTGTAATGTTCCATATTTGACTAAAGGGTTAGGCTACAGGGGTGCATGCATGTACCCTTAAGATGTGCAAATGCATATTTAAGGTTTGACCATTTCTTTGTATGTAAATTTTACATCAAAAGAAATAAACCATAAATATTTAACTATAGTTAATGATTTATACATTGAAGTACTTAGGGAGACAAATAATGATGTCCAGTCTATCCTGAGATGCATTTTTTAATTTAGGTAGACTAAGGAATGGATAGAGAGGTGATAGATGGATATATGATAAAGCAAGTATACTAAAATGTTGAATATACAGGTATTCATAGTAAAAAAAAATTCTTTCAGCTTTCCTATATCTTTGAAAAATTTTTTAATAAAATGTTGAGGGAAAAATCAATAGGAAAGGTGATCTTCTGATGTGCTGATAATGACCTATTTTTTTCTTATGTGAGTCCTGGTTACACAGGGTGCCTAGTTTGTAAAAATTCATTGATCTATACATTCATGTGCACTTTTCTGTATGTAGGACATAGTTTAATAAAAAAAAAATTTAAGATCAAAGAAAAGAAGAAAGAAATGCTTCCCTGGGTTAAATTTTAAATTTGCAGAATAGGAAAAATCCAGTCTAGATTTTTACATTCTTATTAGTTTTATTCAAAATTACTTGTTCCTTACCTCAGTTTTAGTCATCTCATTTTAATACTTAATAAATGTGCCCCTTTAGATATAAATACATTTGAATATATTAAAACTGATAAGATGATCACTGTTCTTCAAACCGTTACCTCATGAATTTCTATTACAACACTTTGGACAATAAGTTGTACAAAATAGACACACAGATACTTATTTAATGAAAAACAACTCAACATTAAATTAAGATTAATTTATTAATGTGTTTAAACTAGTGTCTACACAGAACTCTCTTTGGTAAAGGAAGCCATTTTCTCTTATAAAAACAATGTATAGATACAAATTTTAAATAAATATTATTTTAAAATATCTTTGTAGTCACTTACAGGAAATACAGTGCGGAATGTATAAACTACAGTGAAGTTGTACTATTACTATTAAACAGGTGGATTATTTGCTATTTTTCCTTTGTGAAGAAAATTGTGAATATGCAATTTAATTAACTGAGATTATACTCACGGCTTAAAACTGGAATGGCCAAAATAGATCTTGAGGGAATTAATTTGGCTTGCATTAGGTCCTGGTAATGAATGGTCTTAAAATAAAATAAAATGGTCATTTATGTTAAAATACAAGTGATGGGAAATAAAATTTTATTTCATTGGCTTCTTTTAAAGAATATAGTGATAAGTACCAGAGGCTACTGTTTTCTGTCTTTTAAATCCAACTAACTTGGTTCTCTGGATACCAGTCATGATTTCAGTTACTTTGATTATTACCTAATACTAAGGATTAGAACTTTGTGATTCTACTACAAAATGGTTCACTATAAGAACCTTTGGTCAACATTATAAGAAAATGATGTTTTGGAATTTGCAATAGTTCCAAACTAACATTTAAACCCAACCATGGCAAGCGATATACCAATGCGAATTTCACCATACAACCAACTTTCAATTAATAGTAATCAGAAGTTACATTACTATCACAAATAAAATCCACAGATAAAATTAAATCTTCATTTTAGTTACCACTCCACCAAATCCTTGACCACAATTCTAACTGCATAGCACAATGGAGTTACATTGATTTTACTCAACTGACTTTTATTTTCTACTCAGGTTGAACAGTTCATGAGTGGCCAAGACAGAGCAAAGTGAAGAATCAAGACCATTCATCTATAAACAAATGAAAATGCATTATTATACTTCTCAGCTTTTAACAATTCTAAATAGAGAACTAAATTGATTGGGAGATGTTATGCCTTCATTTAATGCAAGAAAACAAAGAGAATTAACATTTTCTTTAACATTCTCACATATTTTCCACCTACAATATGTATTTTAATTGTCCCACATTATAATATTGATGAATATAGCTCTAGGGGAGTGTTCTACTTTATGAGAAAACCCCGTGGTTTGCCATAATGAATACTCTTACTTACACTTGAATAACATGAGGTTCATTTCATGGACTCCTTACTATAGTTGGCACATAGAGTATGAAAATCAGTCCATTTTGCTATCTGAAATTGTGCCACTTGTTTTAAGGAATAAGCTCCTGAAAAACAGTCACAATGTACCTATGCCTTTAACAATAATGTTTAATATTAATGATATTAATTAATGATTATTAATGATTTTCTATTATTTTTACAAAACATAAAATTCAGAATGAAAGTTTCACATCACAAAGTGCACCAAATAATACAATGCTTCTATACTTCTACTGTCATAAATAGTAAGATTGTGCTTTATAAAGACCAAACACCAAAGGATTTAATGACAAGTTTTTAGGACATCATTAATTACATGCCACAAACTCTTTGCCTCCAAATTGTTTAAAAACTGGACCCTAAATTAGAGTCAGCAGTAGGTATCAGAGGTGAGTCCTTTCAAACACGTTGCAGTGCTTACCTGCATCATCTTCTTCGTCTTCAATAGCTTCAATCTCATCTTCATCATCTTCAAAAGGAACATCCAGATTTCTTCCCATTTTTATACATTTTGGATGAACAGGATCTGCCGTGCCAGTATTTAGATTTTCTGAAGACTGAAAGTTTGAAAGAAATCTTAAAAGCAAAACCATTGACAGTGTCGTATCTTTTTCACCGAACACAAAAGAAGTATTATTAACAGAACCTACAATTTTGTTCAAAGCTGGCAGATGTGCAACCAATACCACAAAAGAACATGTGTGCTCTAGTTTAAACATGTGCTCAAGAATGGTTTCTAAGGCACAAGGCCAAAGATGAAATACTTCCAGCAAAAACAGTGTTCGTTAATAGCATATCATGAACTGCCCGTGGGGAAAGTTATCAAAATTTTGAATAAAATTTGAATTTAAAACTTTTTTCCTTTATCATACGTCAGTGTTTTCAATTGCCAAGAGGTAAATGTGGGCTTTACTGTTATTTTTGTAATGAGTTTCTCCATATCACGTGTCAGCATAAGATTTAAATAGTAAACAAGCAACGAATGTGTTTTTTGTGAATTATGTGAATTTGTTTACATGAATTATGAAAACAATAAAAGATTCAAATAATTTTAGGAATGGATTATTACAAATGTGAATAAAGTTGCTCTTTACTTTGGCTTGATAATATTGGATTTTTTCCCCTAAATGAAGATTATCTATTTAAAGAACATTAGTATATTTCAAAATTGTTTCATCTGCATAGTTTTTTACTGAAAAGAGACAGGAAGAATTATTAAACTACAGTTCTCATTTTCTCTTTTTATTAAACCTCCCATTTAATAAACTTGACTTTAATGGTTTTCTAAAAAGTGTATTCATTTCAGGCCTAGAAAAGAAAAAGAGTGATTCTGTTCCTGATTCTTTATTCAAGTCAACAAATATACTTAGAAAAGCATTTTGAAAATAAAGTTCTCTCATATGGGCATCCAGAATGCCTTCTAAGAGGTTCAATATACAATGTAAGTTTGTGGAAGTCTGCAAGTGTCCTATAAATGTGCTACTTGAACAGCACTCCTCAGAGAAATGGCTAATTGATGAAGGAATATGATTTAGTATTTATGTCCTATTATTACTATTAGCTAATATTTATTAAACACTTAAGAAATACCAGGCTCTGTACTAAGCTCTTCACAAATAACACCTTAAATAATAACAGCTGTTAACTGAGTATCAAAAGGACTAAGAAACTTGCCCAAAGTCACACAGCAAATAAATGGAGATGCTGGGATGTGAACCCACATCTAAATTCAGAATCCACATTCCTAATCACTCCCCACTACTCTGGTTCAAAACAAAAAAACAGGAACCTAATCTCATTTCATAAGAAAAGAACAAAAATCACATTGACCTAAAGATAAGGAATAAAAAGCACAAATAATGATGAACTTCTGTGTTTTTCTTCATTTTCAATTTGAAATTTAAGCTTTTCTTTCTTATTGTCCATCCCTGGTTCACACCTGGCAAAGAAACTGGACGATGGATGTAGTGGTAGAATATACATAATTATAAAATAATACTTTGATAATAAAATAGGGGTAAATGAAATAATTTAAAACATTAGAAAATTATATATAATAAATATATCCATAGTAACTAAGATCAAAAGAAGGAAAGAAGAATATTGAATGTATAACAACAGAACTCCCAAATAAAAGGGGATACACATGGATGGGAAGAAAAAGAAACCTATTTCAAGAGCAGAGGGCAAAATCACTACCAACATTCCAGGAAAAGATTTAAAAGAAGTGACCTGACAGGAATATGTCTTCTAATATAGAAAAATTAGTATACTACTACTAAAACATTATTCATAGGCCATATAAAGATGTAAACAAATATGAAATGGAAAATAAAATCTAATGGTTACATAAATGATAGTAATCTCATTGTGGGGGACATTTAGAATTAGGTAATATTTTACATAATTAAGTGTCCTTTTTGAAAAGGAAGTAAATTTCCATAACTTCAAACATACCTTAATCATCTCCATTTCTAAATCTTCATCACTTTCAATTACATAAGATAGATCCTCTTCATTATCCTTGGAAGATAAATGCTTTAAAAAAATTATATTTTGAACATTAGTTTTCCAATATAATTGACTCTATACCCTGTTTTCTACAAAATAAAGTTCCTATATACTAAATATCTTTAGACAACTTCCTCTTCTTCTCTAATAGATAAATTTATAATACCTGTTTATATGTTTTTATGAAACAGAGATAGAAAGGAAAACAGGGTAGTAAGAAGAGAAAGGAGAATAAACAGAAACAAAGAATCAAAGAAAAAGAGAAAGAAAGAAATATAATTGGAAAGACAGACAAGAGGACAAACAGACTTGATATAAAGCCTACAGAGAGAGTACAAAGTGACAAGTTCAACAATGGTTAAACAATATCAAACTGTGTGTCCCAACTTGAGTACAAGAACCTCTTTACCATGTTGAAAAATTCTATTCTATTCTATCCTATTCTAAGAACAGTTGTTCTCTTATATCCACTAATTTTAAAAAGATCACAAAAAGCTCCTATGACTGTAATAATAGCTCTAAATAAATCACTATTTTACAAACAGCATCTATATATATTTGAAAAACAATGTCAGATAAGTTATTTATTCAGCTACTGCCAATGTTTGGATATGAGAAAACTTTACAATAATTTGGCAATCCCCAGGAAGTAAGTGTCCAACAGCATGAGACCCCTGCATAAAAGAAATATAGAAGGATCCCAAAAGTCTAATCTTTAAATTGAAAGTAGGAAAAGGAAGCATAGCCATAATTAATCTGCAAAAATCAAGTCTTAAAAAAGGATAGCAGAAAGGGAAGAATGAAGGGGGGGAAATCAGAGGGGGAGACGAACCATGAGAGACTATGGACTCTGAGAAACAAACTGA